TCCCCTCGCTTCTCGAACGCCACCGACCAACGCCGAGGGGCCGGCCTCGGTCCCTCCCCTGCCCGCCGTGCGCGGCGCCACGTGCGGGTTTCACCCCGGAAGCTCCCGCAGTTCCAAACCGACCCCTTCTCTCCGAAGACCTTCTCACAAATACTTCTTGCAAGGTAAGTCTACTGGCAACACGTTTCCTCTGGTTTTTGTTTGAAAAAAGTATACGTTTTTTTTACTTTTGCACGATAACTTCTCGGAATATGGAATACTAGGTTGGCTCTTTTCGTTCTTTCTTTTTCTTCCTCCCCATCTCAACACTTTTAATATTTCCCTCCGTCTTTCCTTGCCTGGCTTCTGAGCAGAAGTTGCATGGAAGTTTAAACCTCGTTCCTGAACGGGTTGAAGTGTTTTCCACCCTCGGGCTTCTTTCAAGATGTTTTCTTCAGTTTCGTTTTTCCGTTGTTTTGCGTACGATATGCCTGTACACAAGTCCAAAAGGCACTGGCGTAAAAAGGAGGAACGGTATCCCCGGGACAGTGTTCACATCGGGCGGACCAAGAAACCGACCTTGTGCTTCGCGAAGAAACCGCGGCGTTTGTCCTGTCAGAAAAGTTCCCGCCTAGGAGCCTGACTAGACTGGATTTATGCAAATCACGTACCGAAGTTCACTCGGATTGGTTCAAATTGTGCTGTCCTGATTGGTCAGTGTTATGCATCCTGATTGGTCATTAAGGAGCAGTTCTGATTGGACAGGGCAGGGCTCAGTCTCTAAGTGGAAAGGGAAAGATTTAGGTACCGTGAAGGAGCGGAGAATGCGCAGTAAGCTGACAGTTCAGGCGAAGATTGTTCCCGGTGCACAGAGTACGTAAGAAGCCCCTGTCCGCAGATGGCTGCTACACTCTCATACATTTTGGGCTTTGGGTGGACCATGATAAATTCGGCAGATAAGTTCCTTTTGGGGGTTCACCTCAAATGAATTTGTCTTCGCAGGGTCCACATGGCGAAGTGTGGATTTTTCCCTGTTTTTATTTCGCCTGTTCTCTGAACTTCCTGGGTCTGTGGTTTGGTGACATTAATTTGGGAAAACTCTCAGTCATTATTTCTTTGAGTATTTCTTTTGCTCTCCCTTCTCCTCTGGGTATTCCCGTTACTTGCATATCATACCTTTTGTAGTTGTCCCATAGTTCTTGGATATTCTTGTCCTATTTTTCTTTCAGCCTGTTTTCCTCTTTGCTTTTTCAGTTTTGCGAGTTTCTATTGATATATCCTCAAGCTCAGGGGTTTCCCGCCCCGCCCCCCCCACACCAACTATGCCCAGTGTACTAAGTACTAATCAGCCCTTCAAAGGCATTCTTCATTTCTATTACAGTGTTTTTAATTTCTAGTATTTCTTTTTGATTCTTTCTTAAAATTTCCATCTCTGCTTACATTATTCAGCTGTTCTTGCATGTTACCTACTTTTTCCACTAGGGGAGGTTGCATATGCATCGCAATTGTTTTAACTTCACAATGTGATCATTTCCACACCTTGCCATAAATGAGTGTGGTTCTGTCTCTTCAAACTGTACTTTTGCCTTTTAATATTATGCCTTCTAATTTTGTTGTTGTGGAAAGCTGGACATGATGTACTGAGTAAAAGAAACTGCAGTGAAGAGGCTTTTAAAGATGTGGTGGTGAGGTGTGGGGGGAGGAGACCTGTTCTGCTGCCCTATGGTTAGTGAGCCTGTGATCCTTGGCTACGAACTTCACCAGTGCCTCTCAGTCCCTTCCCCCTGATGTGGGACAGGATGACTGGAAGGGGCTGGAGTTCCCCCTGCCACCCCACTTTCCCGTTATTGGTTAGGCTATGACAAAATCCTTGTAAGTTATTTTGCTTTGACAAAATAGTGTATCTTGAGGTAAGGCTTTGTAAGAAAGAGTAGAATGCTCTGGCATATTTCAAAATGGCCACATTTTCTTCTCCACTTTCTGGAAGCATCAGGATATTTTTCTTGTCGTCTTCCCTCTGAGCACTTGGCTGAGCCTCTGAAGAAAAAAGTTACAAAAGTATGGGGGTCCCCTGATAACTGGGTCCTCCTGGAATTTTTATCTCACAGACTTGTGTACACTGAGCCTCCAGCAAGTCGTCAATCACAGTTCAGGTTTTCCTGGTCTGGCGCTGGTTCCTGTGGAAGTTTCCACTCTTGGGATTCTGCTCTGGTAAGTGGTGATTCTCTGTATTTGCCTGTCTCTTTCTCTGATTTTGGGAGTAGTGGTCTGCCCTGTGACCTCACTTTTCATGTGGATCAAAGAAGACCTGTTGGTTTTTCAGGGTTTTTTTTTTTTCAGCTGGAATTCTCAAACACTAAAGGTGGGACTGTAAGTTTTGGCAGTGGCCACTAAAACAAAAGATGCACTTACCCTGTGACCTAGCAATTCCACTCCTAGTTACACACTCTAGAGAAAAGAATGCATATGTCCATTAACTATTCACAGTGGCTTTATTTTAACAGCTAAAAACTGGAAGCAATAAGAATTTACCTCTACTTCCAGGGAAGAGATAAATAAATTTTGCTGTATTCAGACAATGAAGTGCTATACAGCAATAAAAATAGAATTAACTATTGATTTGTATAAAAGTATGAATGAATCTCATAGACATTATTTTGAATAAAAGGAACCATACACAAAAGAACACATACTATATGATTCCATTTATATATAGTCCAAGAACAAGCATGATACTAAAAGATGTGAGTGTAGTGGTTGCATCTGGGAGGGGAGGGCTTATGGCCTGGGAAAGAGCATAAAGAAACCTCTGGATGACAGAACTGTTCTACACATTAATCTGGATGGTGGCTGTACTAAGGTACACTGACCAAGCAGACACTAGATGCTGTGTATCCTGTGCACACTTGGCAGATAAGAGAGACATGCTTACATTTTAGTGAGGAAGACAGACATTAGTTAACTAACTTCGGTGACATTTGCTGGGTGTGTTGGTAGAGGAAATAGTGGTGGCTTTAGGTACATGGAACAGAGAGAACTCAGTTATTGTGGGGATGAGGGGGGACTTCCTGGAGAAAGAGATGGGACAACTGAGAACCATTAGGCATTGGGGAGGGATAGGAAGATTGGCAGGAAGAGAACATTCTAGGAGGCATGGGGAACAATGTATACAAAGGCCTGAAGGTGAGAGAATGAGGCATGTGCATGTAGTTAAACGTTTGGAGTACAGGGGACAAGATGGTGATGGAGAGGTGAGGCTGGGGGGTTCAGCAGGGGCCTGCTCTTTGGCGATTAAATGAGATGTGCTAGACTTTTGGCTTTTCTGAGGGCATTGAGAAGCAAATGCATAGTCTTAGGTAGGAAAGAGTTAAGATCACACTGACATTTTAAGAAAATGAGTCTAGAGGCTGAGTAGTTGAAGGACTTGAGGTGATCCAGGTGAGAGGCGATGGAACCGGAAGTAGGGGGGGGACAGAAGAGAGGGCCAGCCGTGTGCTGGCTGTAGAGAGAACGTGGAGGTGGAAACGAAGACCTTGTGATGGTTGGGTTGTGCTGGGTGGGGAAGAAGGAAGAGTCTCTCAGGACCTGGTTCCGTTTCAGCACTATTGAAAAGGAATGTAGTTCCATACCCTGGAGGAGGCCAGGAACCTGAGGCACGTTGTTTGATTTCACCTCTGAATTTAGTGCCGCTTCATTGCTTCTCACTGTCTCCTAGGAGGAGCCTTGTTCCTAAAAGGACCCTTTCGGTTGAATTTGCTGGCCACTTTTGTGGGTGGTTTGTGGGTGGAGGTGGGGGCAGGGGATTAGAAGGTTGGACAGGTGGAGGAATTCCGTTAATGCATTAAGACCTCCACACCTTCCTCCTCTCCTCTACTCCACAAGTAGGTTATTTTCAGTTCCCGTATCGGGTAACAAGGACAGAGCAATTTAATTACTTCTGTGATGGAAGATACTTTGGGGATGGGGGCCATCAGAGGATTCTCCTTCCCGGGAATGTGAGTTCTGTCTTCTGACATGTCCTAGTTTGGAGGTGGTGAATGCAGTCCCCTCGCCCTAGGTGAGGTGACTGCCATAATCAAGTTGTGTAGGGAAATTCTTGAAACTTGAAGGATAAGAGGTCTAACATTCACTGGTCTGCAAATGCAAAGCCTGGGACCCCGGCGGGTCCCTTTCCCACCAAGCTGTCCCAAACACTCCACCTGGAATCAGAAGGGCATTTAGAAGCAAAGAACCGGCTGCAGCGAATTTCTTGAGTGCCCAGGCCGGGAAGGAAGCGGGTTAGGATTTGATCCCGAAGAACAGAAGCCTCAGGAGCCTCCCGCCCTCTGTGCTCGGCGTGGCGGGGGCGCGCTGCCGCGCTGCGCCAGGCGGGGCGGGCGGCGGGCAGCAGCGGTGTGGGCGCAGTGTTGCAGGTGTGTGACACCCGCGGTCTCCTGCCTCTGCCGGGATCGCCAGGGAAGACGCTGCTCTGCCCGCACTTGGTGGCCGCCGTCCGAGGATTTTTGTCCGCGGATTTCCCATCTAGGTAGGGGATGGTGCAGCTCGCTCGAGTGCGTGCAGACCTGCGGGGGCGCGGAGTAGGGGCTCCCAGTCTCGCCTGCCGGGGCTGAAACATACCCGCGGGCACCTCTGAATGTTGGTAGTACATGGCAAAAAAAAAGACGGGAGAATCTTGCAAAAGCAAGGACTTGCCCTCCGCCCGGGGCTGCGCGCTTCTCTGAAGGTGGCGTCCCCAAGGGCTGTTTCAAACACCCTGTTTGAACTGTTAGCTCCATATATATAGTTTTGCAACTTAGTCGACTGGTATTTTTAACTCCGCTTCCCTAAGCCACCGCTTTTAGTTTCTATTCTATGCTCATGAGATGAAATTTGTTGTTGCTGTTGGTTTGTTCTTAAAGAACAGATGAAAAACGTCGTAACACCCTGTGGCTCTGGGTTGGGGTTTGTGAGTGTGCATTTCTTCTGTGTGTGGAGGCGCCCTCCGCGGGAGTGGGAGCGGTTTCTTACGGACACAGAGGATTTGTCTGTAGATGGATTTCAGCGCAAGGAAAAGAACGTGATTTGTTCTGCAGGGATAGGCGAGCAAATGCATTTAGCCAGGGAGGAGCGGAGCACTGCTGTTTGTTCCGCAGACGGGTATTAGATATCTCTGCTGTCCAGGGTTCAGTGGGCTGCTGAGACACGATCCTGTAACCAGAAATCACAGATGCAAACTAGCTCTGTTTACAGGTAACTTACCTGCGTCTTGGGCTCTGATGGGGTGGGGTGGAGCACTGGGGAATGCCTGCTAGGTTTTTGTTTTTTAAAAAAGCCTGTTGGGAGGTAAATGTGGGTGGCTTTGAGGTTGAGGGAGTGGCAGGGGAGGGATGAGAGGTGTGTGTGCATGAGGGAGAATTGGGCATTGTCTCCAGTTCAGGGGTTCTTCTAGTCTGCAGTGGTTTCTTCTATGTTTCTGCTTCCTGCCCTTTTTGGAAGAGGTGACTTGTCCCGTTTGCTCCAGCTGATGCAGCAGATAACAATACAGGCTCATTTTGCATCTTTCTTGAGTCAGCAAATACTTACTGGGCACCTGGTATGTGTTAGAGGCTGACGAATCCTTAGGGGTGCAGAGGTGAAAAGAACACAGTCCAGACTCCCAGCAGCTCACACCTGGTGGGGGAAAAACACCTGTAATAAGGAAGTGTGATAAGTTCAGTAATGCAGGTGTGAAAAGAGAGTGGTGTGAGCAGAGAGGAAGTAGGAATTCATTGTGGCGGTGATTATTTTAGAAGTGAAGCCGTCATCGAAGAGACGTGGCATGGATTTCAGTAAGGGCTGGGTCCCTCCCTTGTCCCTTGTCTGTGAGTGACCCCCATCATCCTCCCATTCCTCCAACATCACTGCCACCGGGTGGGCAGAGCTTTACAGGTCACAACAGGTCTGTCATTTATAGTGTATGACGAGACCCCAGGAGGCACAGACACAGGCTGACACCAAAGGAGGAATACATCCTATGCCAGACAGGGATTCTGGAATATTCTGAGGAAGTCTCAGAGCAGATGAACTTCTGCTTTTCCCTCCTCAGGTTCCTGACCTGTCTGCCTGACCCAGCCCAGTTCAGAAGGAAAGCTCTGACCTGATCTCGAAGTGGGTGGAATAACAGAAAACTAAAGCTGTCAGTACTGATCTTTTCTGGGAGATGAAAATCCAGTGTCATGCGTGTTTGCCATAGAAGTGTATCACATGCATTTTGTCACAGAACCATCAAGGTATTTGGGAAGCAGCCTGGCCCACCGCAAGGAGTGTGGGCTTTGATGATTAGACAGACTTAGATGAGTGTCTTGGACAAGTTACTTAGCATCTCTTTAAGCTTTGGTTTCCTGATCTATAAGATAGAGCTAGCAATAAAGGTGTTATAATAATGACACAGATGTTATTTAAAATATTTGTTCATTGTGAGATGATTGTCATATATAAATTGCTTGGCACAAGTAGGTGTTTAAGAAATGGCAGTTCACTCGTTGACTACCTAATGCGTGTTAGGTACTGCCCTGTGAGGGGGGAATACAGAATTGAATTAATAAAGCCCCTCAAAGAGCTTAACTTGTGTGCATGTGTAAGATAATGGACAAATAAGTAAGTAATTAGATAGTGTATCAGCCGATGATGCATTATAATGGAGAGAAATAAAGTAAGGTAAAAGGAATTGGGAGTACTGCCAGAGAGCAGGGTAAGGATTGTTATTTTTTAATGCAGCTTGGTCAGGGAAGGCTTTGCTGATAAGTGACATTTGACCGGACCCCTGGGGAAGTGAGAGAGTGAGCCAGGCAGGTGTCTGAGGAAGAGCATTCTGGGCATTTTGAACCTTCATGGCATGTTTGTTTCCTTTCCCCCACGATGAAAGAAAGGGTCAGTTTATTGAATAGTCTTGCAGATATTTTCCTTTTCTGCAGATAATAGTCCTGCAGAAAAAGGAGTAGTTACTACTCCTTTTTCTTTGAGAACAATAGCAGTTTCTATGGTTATGGAAAGGGGTTGGAATCAACTGGAAGTGTACAGACCTTTGGTGTACCACGGGATGCATTTATATAAATAATATGATGGATTTATTTGAGGCTTCTATGTTGCAGGCTTGATATGGAGGTCAGTTCACCGCTCTGCCCCTTTGAGACTTTGCTCCTCCAAACAGCATGGTGTTGGGATTTGAGAGCTGCATCCCACAGGACAGATCCTGCATCCTTGGTGCAGTGGGGCTGGCTACTGCAGTGCTTCATGGACAGAAATAGGGCTGTGTGCTTGAGAACTTTGTCAGAGTTTCTGTGAAATAGCATGTGGTGAAGCTGGGTCACGGTCAGGGTAGCTGGCTGGTTGTTGTCCCCTTAGTCACCTCAGAAGATAACATTTACCTCTGTGACTTTCCCCCATCCAAGGTTTGGCTTTTAGTCTTGCTGCCTCAGAAACTTGATCTGTCTCTGGGTCACATGACGGTGACCTTGCTCACCTACATGCCAGTCTACTGATTTGCAATGGCTGAGACATTGTGTGGCATGGCTGGTGTGCCCTCTTCCTACAGATTTCCCTTTATGAGAACTGAACCACAGGGAGAAGGTTTGGTTGATGGACATGTACTGAGAGGAGAGAGCTTAGATGCCTACTCTAAGAATTGATCACACACACTGGGGATGATCTTGCTAATGGGACTATGGAGTGAACCACCCCAAAACTTAGGGGCTTAAGGCAACAACCATTTTTTATTTTCTCATGTGTCTGGGTTGCACTTGGTTGATCTCACCTGGGTTTGCTCATGTGATTTTGGTCTGTTATGGTGTGGCTGAGGGCTGGCTGTTTTAAGATGGCCTCAGCTGGGATGACTTGACTCTGTTCCATGTGGCCTCTCATCCTCCACAAGGAGAGCCCAGCATGTTCACATGGAAGGTCAGGAGTCCAAGAGAGAGTAGACACTTACATGGCCTCTTGAGGCCTGAACTTGTAATGGGCACACTATTACTTCATCCTTACCTACTGACATAAGTAAATCATAAGGCCAGCTCAGAGTGAAGAAGTAGGGAGTAGACCCCACTTCTTTTTCTTTTTTTAAAGATTTTATTTATTTATTTTTAGAGAGGGAAGGAAGGGAGATAGAGAGAGAGAAACATCAAAGTGTGGTTGCTGGGGGTCATGTCCTGCAACTCAGGCATGTACCCTGACTGGGAATTGAACCTGCGACACTTTGGTTCGCAGCCCGCACTCAATCCACTGAGCTAGGCCAGCCAGGGCTTAGACCCCACTTCTTGATGAGAGGAGCTACATAGTCACATTACAAAGAACATGGATCCAGGGAAGGGAAGAACTGGGGATATTTTTGCAATCTCTCTACCATAGGGATGTTAATATTTAAAGTCCCCTTGGCTAAGGCTCCTGTTTTTTTGGGTTCTGCTTGAACAGGCAGTGCCTGCACTTCTTTTTCTTTTCTCTGTTTCCATGGCTGACCTACTTTAGACATATATATGTTTAGATAGTCATTCGTTCACCAAATATTTATTGAGTGTTCTCAACGTGCCAGGCATGCTAAAGGCAGGGATACAGCAGTAAAAACATAACATGATCTATCCCTGTGAAGCATTCTTGTTAGTTGGGGGAGAAAAATAATATGTGAGTAAACAAGTAAATGTGTAATATCAGGTGATGAAAGATTGTCAAGGAGAGAAAGGAAGACGGGGAGTGTCTGGTTGAGAGGGAGTAGGGAAGTAGGATAGAGTCGGGGATGGGCATTTTATATAATGCATATCCGGGGGAAAGACACTTCCAGGCAGAGGAAGTAAGTGCAAAGGCTCTGAGGCAGCAAAGTACCGGCATGTTCTGAGAACAGCAAGAAGCCTCATGTAGAGGCAACTGAGAGAGGAGGAGCATGATATAAGGTGAGATCAGACAATCAGCAGGGAGCTAGGTAATACAGAGGCTGGTAGGGCCTTGTATAGATTTTGACTTTTATTCTTATTGAGACAGGAAGCCATTGGAGAATTCTGAACACAGGCTGTCATTACTTGATTTATGTTTTATAGTGATCACTTGAGTTTTAGAACTTAGAATAGACTCTAGGGGGTCAAGGGTGAATACAGGGAGATCAATCATGAAGCTACTGCAGTACTCCAGGTGAGAGCTGATGGCAGCTTGGACCAGGGTCAATAGTGGCTGAGACGGTGAGAAGTGGCCAAATTCTGGATATATTTGATGATAGAGAAGATAGGACTTGCTGATGGGTTAGATTTAGGGTATAAGAGAAAGAAAGGAGTCAAGGAATACTTTACATATTTTGACCTGAGCAACTGAAATGCGTTGCCCTTTACTGAGATGGAGAAGGAAGAGTTACAGGGTTCCAATAGGGCACCCAGTCTGTATGTGTGAGTTCAGGTTTGAAGCCACAGTCCCATGAAGGAGATATACATTTGAGTATCATCAGAATGATATTTATTTGTTGCTTCACTAGGGTGCCCAGAATATTGCCTGGTGCATAGTATGTGCTTAATGAATTTTTTAAAGATTTTATTTATTTATTTTTAGAGAGGGAAGGGAGGTAGAAAGAGAGAGAGAGAGAAACATCAATGTGAGGTTGCTGGGGGCCATTGCCTGCAACCCAGGCATGTACCCTAACTAGGAATCGAACCTGCGACACTTTGGTTCGCAGCCCGCGCTCAATCCACTGAGCTACACCAGCCAGGGCCATGAATTTTTTATTGACTGAGTGAATGGAACCATTTAATCATTGGAGGGGACTGCAAATCTTTGCTTCTGTGGATATTACAATGTAACTCCCTGAAGTTATTCCCCTTCTTTCCAAGGTCTCTTGGGAACCTTATTGTGGATCTCATGGTCTAAAAACAGACTTTAAATGTGAAGGCTCCAATCACTTATATCTTACAGAAAGCAATGTGTGGTGACAAGACAGAGAAATGAGTGGAAGCCAAAAAAATAGCTCATACTTTTAAAAAAGGAGACAAAATCCTCTGGAGAGAGGTGGCTGAAATTCAGGGGTGTGATGTTCTTGGTTTATTATTGTACTGCTCTTAATTTAAGACTGAGCAAAAGCAAGGAAGGATCTTGAAAAAAGGAGACTTTTATTTAAATTGGTTTTATGCAAAGTAGAAGAGTATCATCCCTCAGCTTGCCTGAAAAAAGTCCCATATCTACAGTATCTGGCATAATGTGTTCCCTTTTATGAAAGGAGAGAGGTAGGCAATATAGCCTTATAG